TCCTTCCCCGCCAGCCCTGCCCAGCCCAGCCTCTGCTGGAGACTCTGAGAATGCAGCGCGGGGTCCCCGCCCGGGACCGGCCCTGGGGTCCCGCCCCGGGGTCCGGCGCGCACCTCGTTCCGGGTACCGGCTGCGGGGATCTGCCCCACGCCTGCCCTCGGGGCGGCCCGAGCCCGGCCCTACGGATCAGCCGCCCCCTCGCCTCTTATTCCCTCAGCATCCAGTACCAAGCCGCCTAGGATTCGCTGAGAGAGTCTGGGGCCATCCCGGAGTTATGGAGCGAGTCGCGGCGCTGGGGGCACGGGGCACATCTCGCTGCCCGGCCCCACGGAGCACCGATGATGGCTGGAGTCACCCATGGCTGAGAACACACAAATACAGAGCATGGCAGCATGGCGCCGGGCTGAGGGGCTAAAGCGCCCATGGGGAGGGATGACCCCAGCCTGCCCTCCCACATCCCCATGGCCCAGTGGAAGCTTGGCAGAGGCTTCAAAACGGGCAGACTTTGCAGGCTGACAGACCCCCCACCATATGTGCATGGAGCATCCTCAGCTTCCAGCTCAAGTCTCAGGTGCCTCCTCCAGGGCTGTACAGTAGGCACCATCCGGGTCCAGCAGTGCCCTGCAGTCACAGGGACAGCTGTGCAGCTCCGTGCTTGCGGTGGAGAGCCGTGTGCCTGTGGGATCCACAATGGGGTGACAAGTTTACAGATGGCTGTGGCCATTATTAGGACATAGGAAAAGTGGAAGCAGGGAAGAAATGATGATCAAGGTTGGTGAGGCTGCAGTATCATTTTAGGACTGATAAATTTGGTTATATGTGCCAGGGTTTAGCCACAACTCAGGCAAACTTCTCCAGAGGGATGTTTTCCAGTCTCCACTGTTTTCACAGTGATTTCTATCTAGTAATGGACCTTGGAGTCTGACCCTGGAAAGAGTAAGACAGAACAGTAGAGAAGGAAATGCCCTGCTGCTTTGTGTGTGCAGTGCCTTGTACACATCTTGTGCTCAGCCAATAGGGGCAAGAAATGGTGCTAACACAGCAGCAGGGTTTCTCATCCACATATCACTTGGGTATGGTGCTTCCCGCACTGGCAGGTTGTCTGCAGGTCAGGGAGAAGTGGATGTAAAGCAGAAGAGAGTGGCTCATAATCACAGCATGAATCCAGGGGAAATGACCTCTTCCCCAGACCACGAGCTGAGCGGGGCAGCCAGCTCAGGCACCTTTCTCCCCATACAGCTCCAGCACAGCACAAGGCCTCCAAACCTCGTTCAACTGCATGACTCCCACCCTTGAAGGCCAACAGCTCCTCACATGTTTGAGCACTGTGCACAGCCCCCACAGCTCTGTTCCACAGCAAACACCAGCACATCCCTTCTGTGCCATGTCTTGCATTCTCAGTGATGCAAGGATGGCTGGTTATCCTTTATCTTTGCTGGCTTTTCCTGTATCTCCACAGTCATTAAGTCCTTATCTGTCTTCTCCTTTCCTCCTATTCCCATCTTTCTTTATCCCAGCATTCAAGTAGCCCTTCTGTAATTTTTAGCTCCCCTGTACCTGCAGCATTCTCCCCTTATCCTGCTGCACTCTCCCCATCTCACGGAGCTCCAGGCCCCTTTGCTTTGTTCTCTCGCTTTCTTTCTGCTACTGACTTGTTCCATCTCCCATGTTGTGATTTGTCTTCTCTGCTCTGTCCCTTTCACTCATCTTCTCTCCTCGGCTCTTTTGTTCCTTTCCCTTCCTCTTCCCATTCTTTGCACTACCCCCCCCACCAGCTCCCATGTGCCCTTGTCTGTAGGAGTTGAAAATGAAAAGCTTTTCCAACCTGATCCCGAGCAGCTTTCCCTGGTACTTTCATCTCCACAGCACATTTGTAAAACTGCTCAGACCAAAGAGTCATTACATAAACTGAAGAAATACTACAGAAATATCAGAACAAAAAAAAAAACCACCACAAAACCAAACCACCAGGACTCCCAGCATCAGATGGAAATTTGTCTTCTCCATGTAAACCTCCCTCATTCACTACCACTGAGATAATCTCTCTCAACTGTTCCCCATAAACACTTCACACAGTGAGATTTATCAGCACCCCTCTCGCCTGCCTGCAGTCCTTACCCCTTTCTCATGTGCTCTGTGCAGCATCCAGCACTGTCTGGGCCAGAGCAGCTGCAGACAGTGACTCCAAGGAAAACTCAGGGAAGAAGTGCTTTCAGACCTCTGCTCTCATAGTGCTTTGGGGCAGGCTGTGCTGAGCAGGATGAGGACAGCCAACCTTAGCTGTGACCAGCAGTGGGGAATTCCAAAGTTCCCAATATGGATCTATGCTCCACACAAAGCTGTCTGCTCACGTGGAAATTTGTTGCTGAGGAGCTCCTGAATGCTGGCTATTCTCACAATGCTGTAAGGGATTAATCTTGCTAAATCCTCCTACTTCTTCCCTATTGGAGAGCAGATTCAGCACAGGACAAGCTCTGTGACTCACCTCTGTGTTGGCAGAGCCAGCTCCCATTAATCTAACTCCCTATCTAATGTCCATATCTTAGTGGCAGGCAATCCATCTCCAGTCCTGCTCTCTGTCCAGGACCCAGCTCCCTGTCACTCACAACCTGCCTCATTCTGCTGCCCTGCAGAGCTTCTCCAAAGCAGGATGGTGGGACACCTTCATCCCCACTACCCGGGATGACAGTAAGGGACGGAATCTGGGCTGGAGAGGTCCTTGCTGGGCAAAGCAAAATTGGGCTGCGGTGAGAGCTGTGCTCAGCATCAGCCCAAAGGCCTTTTTTAATTCTCAGCTCTCACCTGGCACCATCTCAGGAACAGATATTCCTCCCCTACAGCTCAAGGATGGCATAAGGCCTCCAAACCTTGTATGATTGTGTGACTCCCATCCTTGAAGGCCAACAGGAACACAGCTCCTCATGTGTGCGAGCACTGAGTGCAGCCCCCACAGCTCTGCTCACACCAGCACATCCATCCCTTCCATGTCATGTCTTGCATTCTCAGTGATGCAAGGAAGGACGGGACATCAGAGCCAACGGGACGCAGTTGGAATGGGCACAGCTGTGCACGTTTGCTGAGCACACCCAGAGCAACCCATCTCCCTCAGCCTGTTCCTCAGAGCAGTTCTCACATGCTGCTCCACTCCAGCTGCCCAAGCAGCACTGCCTTGCTTCCACTGATGGTGGCTTCCAGTCCTTTTCTGGGAGCATTTCCACTGTCCCGCACAGTTAGGCACTCTCTCCCTATCTTTATTCTCCCCAAGTACTGTGTCATTTGCAGCCTCCACGGTGTCAGCCTTGTGATTAAATTCCAATGCCTTTATGAATAATTTGTTGCGCAATTATAAAGCAAATATTTAATTGAACTTTATGTAAAATTGCTTCTGCCTCTGAGTGCTGAACCGCTGGTTTGGGATAGGGAGTCACGCAACTTCCCATCAGACAGCAGGAGCCCAGCAAAGAGCCCCACAGCAAATGGGCTGATCCCCTCCCTGAAGCCTGAATTCATAAGCAGAGCTTTGGCACCATGGTGACAATCTCAGGAGAGGCTCCTCAGCCCACAGCAGGGCCAGCAATCCATGAAGAAATACTCTGCACGCCATGACGTCACCTGGAAGAGTTGGCATGGAGGGTCTGAGCACACCTCAGATTGGCCATGGCTTTGCCTCTGTAGGGAAAAACATCTCCATCAGCAAAACCAACAGCACTGGACAAAATCTTAATTTACTACGGTCTGTAAAAGAGGCTGAAGTGCCTATTTCCAGCAAGGGAAATTTGAAATCGAGAGAGGAAAACGAGTGCATTGAAGAGATCAGAAGCTCCTTTCCAAGCGTGTATCTGGTGCAGGTAATTGCTAACTGACCTGAGGGGCTCTTGAAATCGACCTAATGCAGCAGATTGTGCTGCACGGAGCAACTTGGAGGCTGGGGACAGGCACACACACGTGGCATTCCCTGCAGGCAGGCTGGGGCAGCGATGGGCAGCAGTTTCCTGCAGGAGCCCAGGGATAACCCCTTCCCCACCTGCACTTCGCTCAGTTTGGGCAGCACCTGTGGCCAGCAGTATGACAGCCCTCATTCTCTTTGCTTTTACGGCTACAGAGGAAGCAGCACAAAGTACCCCTTGGCTGCTGGTCACACGCTCCCTGCTGCCAGTTCACCCCAGGACCAGGGCCATTAGCTGCTGCCTCTGGCAGCTCCCTGCGCCCCGCAGCCCTTTGCAGCTCTTTGCTCACAGGTGTTAAAGGTTCCTTTCAAGGCGCACCCCTCTGCTTCCTCTGCAATCCAGGCGTTTTTTTAATAAATAGCACTTGCTTTGGCTCTGCGATGCCTATTTGGCTTCAAGCTTTCATCTCTGCCACTGGTTGTGCCCAGCATGAAATGCTGCCACTCAGACTACAAAAATTAATGGTTGGGGCAGTCATTTGTAGCAGTGACTCAGCTCTCACCCTGCTGGTCCAGTCCCAGACTGTGGCTTGAAGAAAGCCCGACAGCAAGAGTTTGGAGTTTCTGGTGGGCAGGCGGCAGAGAGGTGATGAGGAGAGGATGCCCCACTGCTATGGGATGGCTCACACAGTGCCCTTCTGCAGCCAGCACAGACACTCTGTTCCAAGCAGTGTTTACTCCGAGACCTACAGCTAGATGCACGGCTCACCACTTAGGCAGAGTGAGACAGGAGGCATCCCCTAAATGTGCAAAGAAAACGCAGGAAAGGCAGAGGTCTGGGCTACACAGAAGGATCCCAGCTAGGCTGAAAGCTTAGAGCAAGGCTAACTGGAAGGAGGAGCATGACACAGCCTCCTCTCATGATTCTCTCTCTAGTAAATACACATGCATGCACACGCACTCCCACGTGCTTTTCTGTGCCCTTACACCCTCTGAGAGAGGGGAGAAGCAGCGCTCAGAGCAACTGTAATCTTCCCATAAAGACAGGAGAGCTGTGGTGCAGTCACATGCAGTGAAAGCCCCAATTTTGCTGCAAAAAGCTGTGGAGAGCAGGTAAGTTGGAAAATAGCAGTAGTTTATTTCTGGTATTAGGATGGTCTTTGGACTCGCACCCCAGCAAGGCACAGCAACGTGACCCCTTTTGGAGTACGCTGGTGCTGTAATGGCTGAGCTCATTAGCCTGAAAAATAACGTGGCTGGGAGGGAGCAGCAAAGCCCCAGCACTGCAGGTGAAGGAGCCCCTGTCCAGTGCCTGCATCTGGAGGTACAGCATGAAAACCCATCCTTTCCCATGCCCAACCCCCTCCTGTGCAAACCCTGCCCAGCCGTCGCCAACAGATCCACCGCCTTTTAACAGACGTCTGTGCATGCCATGTGAACTCCTTGGCTCCTACAGCCCCTCTCATAGAGGGCTGCCTTTGAAATACACTTTCTTTGCACCATGTGTTTTTCTTCTGTCTCTGCTAACAGATTTCCCTGTGAATCATTTCATGATACGTGTGTGCAGCTGCAGGAACCCAAGCCTCCCCAAAGGCACAGCACAAGAGCACCATGTCGAGCTCACTCAGTAACCAGGATCCAGGGAACAATCCTAACGTTATAACAAACATGAGTATTTCCAAATGGCAAATTGTGTCATCTCTCCTACGTCACGAGTGTAGAACCTACCAGTGTAGGAACTTCTAGAACAGACTGAAATGTAGCCCACCTTGCCCTTTGCCCACAGAACGAAGTTTAGCTGTTCTGTATTCCTTCCTTTCCTTTTTCCAGGGCTACCACACTACCAACCCCACCTGCCCCTCCGAAGCCAACCTAACCTCTGCATTTCATACAGCGCTTCACAGCATGAAGTCCACAATACACTTTTACCTAGAGTCCTCCAGAAGATGCAGCCTTGAAGAACAGATTCTGAGTCACAGTTTTCGGATGTACTTTAGGGCCACATTTGCTATAACTTGGGATTTTCCTGGGAAATACTCCTGCTTTCTGTAAATGCTCCATATCTGTTACCAGAGGTGATTTCTCCTTTCCAAAGGGCAGTCCTCCTGTCCAGACTTCTGCTGTTGCAGCTTCTGGCTCTCATTCATTGGATGCTTGCCTTTCCTTTCATACCACATACAGAATTCCAATTCTGTCAGCTCCACGGTTTTACTGCAGGTCTTCAATCATGTCACAGACTGATTGGCTTCTGCTCGCATGAAAAAATTTACAGGAAGTCGTTGTTTCGTAGGATACATAACCACGTTTTGTCACGTTTATATTTTCTCTTCCACGTTTCTCTCCTCCTCTGACCCTACGCACAGAGACTGGCGCTTTCACGTTAGCGTTTCTTTCATCTACACTAATTGCTGTTAAATGGATCTCAAACTGCCTGATAGTTTCCATTCTCAACTGCATCCCAGCAGGGAAGGGTTTAATGCTGGACCCTGTGATATGCTTGTTAGTTCTTCCAAGAGCTCTCAGAAGCCATCAAAGATCATACTTACATTTTGTGAGAGCCACCTTACAAAAGAGGTGTATATATGAGGAAAGATTGCCTCCACTGCGGCTGCTATGAACCAGCCCTGACAAATGTGACATCTTTCTGAACAGCAAATTGCAGGAGGTTAAAAATAATTTCCCAGCGTATCTGTGTCCCTCGTCTCAAGAAGCAGCAACACCTGGCGTTACGCAAACACAGGCCATGGAGAGCACTGATGGGAACACACATCCCTGGGATGCAAAGAGCTCTGCTTCCTGACCCCGAGGGGTTGCAGAGCCGAGCAGAGCTGTGCTCTGTGCTCAGCAAAGATGAGCACCTCGGCCAAACCCTCTGCATCTCCATCACACAGTGCACTGCAAACCCCTTCCTCCTCCAGCCACGCCTGCAGCCCTCAGCCTGAGGATCAAAGGTGCCGGCAGCAGCAAACCCAAACTCAGCTCTCCTGCTGAAGTTCAGCAGCAGAGCAGCACAAAGGCACTGGCTGGATAGCAGCTCCCAATGCCTCATTCCTCCTGGTTCTGCCATCGGTGCCACAGCAGTTTCAATAGCAACAGGCGATCCGTGAGTGCTGTTTGAAAAGAGAAGTGTCTGAGCAGCGGTGCAGTGGGGTAGGAAAGCACTGCCTCATCCAGGACAGACTCCCAGAGGCATTTTCTAGCAGCAGGGACCCCTTGAGACAAAGTATAATCCCTCTGTGATCATCGCCATCCCTCCAAAGATGCCTAGGAGCCTTTCTGAAATTCAAAGAGACCCTTTGTGCTATCCCTCTCTTTCCCTCTCTCAACACAAACTTTTGCTTGCGGAAACCTCTCTGAAGGCCATTTGAGAACAAGCTGCCAAACATGAGTGCCCATGGATGTGGCTCCCACCATCTTTGTCACAGAAGAACTCCCAGGTTCTGACAGCCATTCAGCTTTTGACTTACGTTCAGTTGTAAATTTCTTTACAGCAGGTCATGTTTGTCCATTGCCTTCTTCTCTATGCTTCATTGCAGCTGGAACAGACACAACAGTCTGCCATTTAACCCCTCCTGGACCTAGGCTGTCAAGCAGGATGCTGCACTTCATTCCACGGCACTCTCAAGCCTTGCAGCAATCTTCTGATGCTGGGGAGCTGCTCCTGTACAAACAGCCTCAGTCCAGGCTGCCAGGAGCTGGGAAGGCAACATCCACACAGAAATGTTCAGTGCGGCTCCTCAGGGTGTTCTTGAGATTGCTTTTGGAGCAGCATAGCCCTGGGACAGGTGTGGGGATCAGGCCTCACATGGCACTTCCTTCCCTGAAACTTCAAACAGCATCGAACCTGAATTATTCACTTGTAATCCCTTGGAGCTGGCAGCAGCTCAGAGAGGATCCAGTTCAGGTGCTAAGAAGCAAGCAAGAAAAAAAGAACCCATTAAATTTAAAAACCTCTGAGTCATAACATGTAAAAATATATTCAGGACAGGAGCCAGGCCAGGATGGGGATGCTGGGTGCAAGCACCATGCTGGCAGCTCTCTGAGTATGAGCAGGTAGGACAAAGATGAGGGAATCTGGGGCTGAGGAAGGTCCTGGGCTTGGTGGGCCCTAGATGCTCAGCTCTGACACCTCTTCCAACTCCTTGCAGTCCCTTGTCTTCTCTCTGTGATGTCACTGTGGTAAGGAAAGAGCAGGAGACAGGAATAGAGGAAGCAGAGCAGGGCTAAGAAAGGCTGAAATACATAGTCCTCCTCCATAAGAGACTGCCCTCTCCCTCCCCACTGCCAGAACCTTGACACAGCCTCTGCAGAGGTGTTAGGGGTCCTCAAACCAAGGTGCAGAGCAGCTCTCCCCAGGGACACATTCAAGGAGCCCGGAGCTGCCCTTGCAGCAATGTAATCTGAAAGCTCCTGTTTGCTAAGACCATAGAATCACAGCATGGCTTGGGTTGGAAGGGACCTTCAGGATCACCTAGTTCCATCCCCCTGCTGTGCAAAAAGCAGCTCTGGAGAGACACAAACTACAGAGAGCTGTAATGGAAAGCATTTAAAAAGTCATGCTCCAGCAGCCTGGCTGCCCAGCAGCCTCAGCTCACTCCTGCTGTGAGTGCTCCATCACTCCTGAACCAAACTGGACTGATGAGGGAGAAACACTCCATCTCAGGGCTGGAAACGTACTCTGCAGCTGCCAGGAGCTGGCTGCTGGGCATAGGGTGAGCAGCAGGCACCCAAGGGCAATGCTGCTTTGCCCTGGGCCATACAGAAATGCCTCCAGCCAGCTGCACAGAGTCTCAAGAGCTCTGTCCATCCTCCTGCTGTAGTGCTTTAGCTCTCCATGTCCAGTGCTCTGGACCCAAACCCAGACTGCGCTCTATGTCTTGGGAACAGGTGCTCACTGGCGCCTGCGGGCAGCGTGGCAATTTGTTTGTTCACCCTCCCTCAAATCCATCTCTACAAGCAAAGCAGCTTTGTGCTTCCTCACCCAATGAACTGACAGAGCACCAGAGCAAGGTCAGGGTACTGAGCAAACTGGTGCAAGTAAAAAATGGTGAGGGTTTTTTGCTGGGTGCAGAATGCAGATGAAGGTCTGGGGAAGGTCTCTGGGCAGCTAGAAAGACCAGGGCAAGCAGGAAGGTCACGCATCCAGCAAAATTTGGTGTTTGTCTCTTCATCAGAACTTGCCACCTCAACCCGAGCACTCTTACCATCTAGATAGAGGAATGTCCCACCTACCGTCTGGCACCCTTCCCACCTCAACAGCTGAGTACAGCCCCTTATTGCTGTCACACCCCAAAATCTGTTCCTTTGCACGGCTCGGAGGAGTGCTGATCCCATCACCCCACCACACCCCAGCTGCTCACTGCTGCAGAGCAGAGCCAGGCAAACAGCTCTTCAAGAACAAAGCTCTTTCCTGAGTGGGTTTGGCTGCCTCGCTTGCAACTAAATATTCAGAGGCACTGTGTGCTAGCCCTTTGATCAGCAATTTATCTCTCCATGCCACAAGTTTCCTGCAGCCTGGCATTTCCTCCCTGTGCTCAGCCCAGCTCCCAGGAGCCTGGGAGACAGGTGTGAGAAATTAGCTATAGGGACTAACGCTCTGACAGGAACCAGCACCAAAAGCAGAGGACAGAGCGTAATGTTTATTACACTTGAAGCAAAGCAAACATGTGGCCTACTTATGTATCTACAGAGAATTAATTGGGGAGCTCCACAAAGCAGTAGATTATAAATTAGAATCATTTTCACCAACTTCAGCCCATTCGTCTTATTTCACACCAGGGCTGTCAGTGCTGCCTGACGCGGCCGTGAGAGGCCCTGGACCACTGGCTGCTGCCACGGAGGGTCTGCCAGCAGAGAGCCCCATGGGCATGGCATACCTGATCCCACAGGGAGAGGATGGGGTCAAGCCAAGGCGTTTCCTTGAACAGAAAGCAAAGCCAGAGACTCGAGAATGGCTGTAGAGGTGCTGAGATGCCACAGCACTCACCTACAGGGCTATGCAGTGCTCTGCACCATTAGCATCAGCTCTGGTTGGACCAAGGCCCAGTAAGTGCTCCAAAGGCATTTCAGGCATTCTGGTCTGGATCCAGAACACCCAGAGCAGCCCCCGACCTCCAGATGGTGACACCTTGCCAGCACATCACAAAACAAAGGATTAGAATAACTCAGATTTGGCCTATAAATACTTACCAATTCCCAAGGGGACAGCACGCAAAATATCACATTGATGCTGGGATCATTTCTCTCCGAAAGGTCACCTGCTGCCTGGCTGGAAGGAGCAGTAAAACAGCCCATGAAGGTTGCACAAGGTCTGAAGATCCGCTCCTGAAGGTGCCATTTGGGTCTGGCAAACAGACCACAGCCCCTGATTTTGACTCTCCTGCCTTTCACAGCAACCAGAGGTAAACAGAACCAAAAGTGGGGTTGGATCCTCTCAGCATCCACCTGTCTCCTACAAAACCACTCCATGAAAGGTGTCTGCAGGGTTCTGGTTTCCTCAGGCACCAAATGGTTTCTGCTGAGAGTCTTTTCAATTTGTGTTGTGTCTTCAGTGTAGCCAGGAGCAACACACAGGAGTAGGCTGGGGACAGGGGTATGCAGGTGATGCTCTTCCCAACTACAATTTTCAGCTCTGGGAACAGCCGCCTATTTGTAATCAGCCCTTTCCACCAAGCTTCCCAGAAGCAGGATGCCCAGGAGCTGCCAAGGGCTTTGGAGCTGCAGTACAAGCCTTGCCACTGCTAACAGGGCCAGACAAGCTCCTTCCCATGGCAGGGACTCACGTCAAACTGTTCTTTTTGCAGCTGCAGCAACTTGCATTGACACACAGGCCATCTGGTTCAGCAGTACCACCGGAGCTCGCACCAGAAAAGCTGTACAGTCAGGGCAGAGCCCACCATGCACCCTGGCCCAGATGCAGAGCGCCCGCTGCAGGGTTCCTCCTGGCTCTGACAGCATGGAGAAGCCCAGGGCCTCATTCTGCTGCCAGGCCCCGTGCCAGAGCTTCACACCCCGTAATCGCTGCTCTCCATGCAGCAGCTGCAGCCCTCGCTCTGCGCCTGGCTGGCTGGTAATTTGTATCGTTAAGCGAGAGTTCGTTCGAATGGCATTCCTAATTAGTACAGCAATACTATTAGCATTGCTAACGCATTCCAAACGTTTTCATTAACGCATTCTGACACCGTGTAAAAGCAGTGCTGGGGAAGAGCCCGGGGTGAGGAAGCTGGGTGAAAAGGCAGCATCCCTGCTCCAGCACTGCTGGCCCTGATAAACGGCAACCAGCAGAAGCTGAACTGGGTCAGATCTGTGCCACTGCGCGTGCACAAACACCCATGTGTGTGGCAGGGAATCACAGCGACAGAAGTGATCCAGAGAGGGAATTTCAGGACAAAAGAAGAAAACTGGTAGAAGGGAGCTGGTGGGGGCAGGGGCAATAAACCAAAATGTAAGCTGAATAAATTATTTACTGCAAGAAACAATGTGAAGTTACTTACTCTGGCTCTCTGCATCCTAAATGGGATCTACAGCATTTCTCACATCTCCCCAGCGTGCCGACTGATTTTTTTGTTACAATTGGATGCATGAGGCTGGGGCAATCTTATAAAGGACTCCAAGAGATCGGTTTAGCATTGATCATGTGCTGAATTTAAAGGCTTTTCACATCCATCTGCTGTCGCTCTTCGAGTGATAGGTCAGCTGGGACCTGGGCACGCACTGCACCCTGCGGCTGGGCTGCTGTAGGAGCCTTCTGTATGAGAAATGTCCCAACTTCACAAACCAGCAGAACAGAATAGAAAAAAAAATGACTCTTACAGGTCCACATTTACTCAACAGACCTGGAAAATGAATGGCAGCAATCTCAACATCTACATGGTCTGGTCTGACAGAGGCAGGGATACCTCTGTATTCTTGGCAAGCAGGAGAGCAGCTCACAGTTTGGGAAACGGGCAGCTCCAAGCTGGGATGTGCTGGCTGTCCTGTGCATGTAGCTCTGCCAGCAGCTGATGCACGTACTCTGGATCCCAGGTTTTCAGATGGAACAGGAGGAGTTACAGCAAAGAGCAGCAGAGTAATTGTGACTTAATACCATCCCATGTTTTTTATTACACTCAGAGTATTAAATTGATAGCTTGGTACCAGAGGCCAGAAGTGCCATCTCTCAGCATGATGAAATCTATGAAGCCCATGAACAGGAGAAAACGGTGAGATTTATAAAGGCATCCGTAAAATTAACGTTTGGGTGAGAATGTGGGAGAGCAGAGAGCATGAAATGCAGCAGCAGGCTGTCAAGAACCCCTCTGCACATACAGAGCTGTCAGTCCAACAGACCATTGCCTGGGTGCATCCTCCTGCACTGGTGCTCAGCTGGATGGGGCCCCAGGGCCTCACTACTGCCACGAAGAAGGGCCGCTTACCCAGACCAGCTGACACTGTGTTGCACAGCACACACTTCTGCATGCAGACACCATGGCACATCCTACCTGTATGCACTCAGACACGTGCCATACACACCCTGCTGCCTCCAATGCTCAGTGTAAATGGAGGTGTTGCCACCACTGCCTGCAGTATGACTGGTTTGCAATTAAAGCAATGAAATGTTTATACAGGAATAAATCTATGTTAATGAGGTGAATTCCGTTCCTCCCCTGGCAGACTAGGAACTTGGGGAAGATGGATATCTGATGTGCACTGCTTCCAGCCAGTAGCTAGGCTTGGGAGCAGGAAGGCAAAGGGGAGTAACTCTGGCAGGTGGTTAGTTGTGCTCTGGAGACACCAACAGTTTGATTTCCATCTGGTTTCCCCTACAAGGGGCTAGCAGGAGAGACCAGAACAGTACCAGGAGGCTGGTTGAGCTAGTTTATTCCCTGGAAAGTGAACAGCACCTGGCTCAAAGAATTAGGAAGAAAACACAAAATTCAGGCAGCAACACTACCAAAGATTAAGGACATGCTGCTCCCAGCCCTTCCACCTCAACAGCCTGTTCAAAAAGTCCTTTGCTAGCAGCAGGGGTTATGCAGGAGGAAATCCCCATGCAGGTCATCCTCAACTCTCCTCTGTTCCTCAGAAGCACTACAACTAATCCCTGTTGCCTGCCTACATGAGAAACCACGGAGACACAGAATCCAATTAGCTTGAAACCCAGCTCTGGCTCCCACACAGCATCTTCCTTCTAATAGAGCTGTGAAGCTGCAGAGATAAATGGTGCATTAGGATTCCAGTGGGATATGACATGCAAGGATGGCTCTGGAACTGCAGCTGCAGCCCAGGGAATGAGTGAGACTCCAATGCACCTCTACCAAGCACCTCTCTCTATCTATGCATCACACCAGCTCTTCCTCACTTGTCCTGCAGCACCACGTGAGTGAACCCAGGTGCACATAGTGAAACCTGAGGACAGAGGCTATGGCCATGCCTGCAGCACTCACTCTCTCCTTTGCACCCACAGTAAATTACCTGCTTTGCAGATTGCAGCAACAACTTAACAGTATTAATTTATTGTGTCCTGTCTTTAACAAACACCATTATCATATCACCAGCCAGGATTATGCAAATCCGAGGAAAGGAATTATTTCTCTCCCCAAAGTCACCTTGATTTATCAGCGTTAGCCCAAAATGAAACAGAAGTTGCTTTAATAGTTGTTAAACACATGACCACACACCCGAGGGGCTGTGAGAGCCCCAGGTGATAAAATGCACATCCAGGCCAGGCACAGCCCAGCTGGGTGACCCTCAATATCCACAGGTGACACAGGGACAGCTCTGTGCTGGCTCCCATATCTGCTCCATCGTTTTTTCTTTGCAAGATCCACAGGTGGCAGAGAAAGATACAGGTGCACTGAACAGCCACGCTGCGTGGGTTTGCCTGGAAGCAGCACAGAGCTGTGTACAGACTGATGCTTGTGGCACGTGTTTCACACCACAGACAAGCTGCAAGGAGGAATGAGGACGAATGACCACCACAGTCACAGCCCAAGATGTGGGATGCCACACCTCTGCATGGCACAGCAAACCCTGGGATCAAGGCTGCTTCTTGTCTCATGAGAAGTCAGTCAGTCTCTTTCCTGCTGCATGTTCAGTCTGGTTTCTCCCCCAGCTGCTCACCACTAGTCCTCCTTTCCAGTTGTGTCTGATGTCTTCTGATCATCCCAAGCCTCCTCATGCACTGCCCCGTGTCAGGCCCTGCCTTTACTGTCCTTGCAGAGTTGGAAGGAAGCTTGGAAAGGGTCTTTATCCTGGCCTTGCGAGTCCCAGGGATGAAACCCTCCTAATGCAGCCAGCCCTGCCCACAGCAGCACCTCTCCACAGACGTGAACGCCTTGCAGACAGACACTGCTCTGCTGAGCGTAGGGACAAGGGAGACCAGAGGCAGGAAAGCATGTGCAAAGCTACAGCACAGGAGGGATGCAATGGCAGAGAGAGAAACAGGGAAGGCAATTCAATTTTCAGAGGCTGTCCCACCAATTCAACACAGAGATGATAAGAAACCCATTTCCAGCGATAGGCACCCTAATCCCCAGCCATCCTGCATTTCCATTTCTGAGAGGCACCGTTTCCAACAGGGAGGCATTTTCCCATCTAGGTTTGCTAGAAGGGACAGTGCTGGATTAAATACCAATTTTCCCAGCACTATTTAACTCCTTCTGCACCCACTCTTGCCACTTACGTGAGCACTGGATGCGCGTGGCAGTGGGACAGCTGCTGCAGTCCCCTGCAACAGACACTGGGTGCCTCTCATGGGATTCTGCCAGAGCACTGCAGCCTGCAGAGACAGAGCCAAGGGTGAGCAGTGCAGCTTAGGTCAATTTATTACTGCTCAAGGTATGGTTCTCAGAACTGTGGGACTGGAATCCTGTAGTGAAGCCTACAAAGGCCTTGCTTCCCACATAGAGCAGGACTCCTCACCACCTGGGATCCACTAGGCTGCTGCACTCCTGAAATACCAGCATGGTTTATCCTCAGGTGCTTGCAGCCAACCCTCTGTGTTTCCATCACACAGCCCAGTGCTCTCCCTCTGCAGAGACTCTCCATTTTTCCTTCTTTCCTTACACCAGGGCTCTTACCCACAATTTACATCAGTCCCTCACTGTACTGTTATTTACTGGATCAGAAATGACGAATGGCAACACAAAGGGGCTGGGCCCAGTGCACAGGGAGTGCTGATGCAGCAGTAGCCAAGGGAGCTGTATGCTAGGGGGAGAGACCCACAACACGGGGCTAAGGGAACAGCCAAGGACCAAATTCCTCTCACACCTTCACCATTCAAGGCAAGATTTTTAGCAGAAGCTTCTGTAAGAAACACCCACATGACAAAGAATAGAGATGAGCACTGCGTGAGCTGCGCCTGTCCTCTATGCTCCTGAGAGCTACGCTTCCCATGGAGCCCCGGCTGGTGCCACTGCAGATTTAAGGCACAAGAAACAAACACCAAAAATGCTTCAGCCCTGGGGGAAGAGGAGCACCTGCTGGAAAGACAGAGTAAACGTAAGCATTACCACTCCTCCCCCTCGTAATCTCCCAGCTGTGGAGAGTTTGATCTGCATTCAGCAGTAATCTAAAGCAGGCTCTTTAGCGCAGGTGCCCATTACTGCCTGCTAATGTAAGCAGCTCTGATAAAGCAATCACCCAGTCCTGCAAAGCTGAGAAGTTTAAGAGCAACTCAGATGGCAGGGCTATGTAATCTAGAGGGGGTCTTGTAGGACAGTTCTGTGCCCCACCAAAGCCCTTTGAATGCTGGGCAGAATGAGTTCTTGCACTCATGCCCTCTAGCTTCTGCAACTGCATCTCTCACCATTCTCATTCCTTGTTTTCTGTGTCCTTTTCTGGTTAGATGCCTTCCCCTCCTCTTCTCTGTTTAAAGCCTCCATTTTGCTTGCTTTTCCATGGAAGATGTGGCAGTGGGGAAGGCAGCTAAACCAAGGGCCAAGTGCCAATGATGGAAACAAGTATATACAATTCCCAGCAAAAACTCACTGTTCTTTGTTCTCTTACCCTCCAGGACCTGCCAACCTGGTGGGTTTGACAGTGGGCAATGACAGTGAGACTGACCCACCTGGGCTAATATCAGGCAGAGGGGAAATCAGTCATTCATGGGCCACAGAGTCCTTTTTTGCTCTACACAGAGCACTCTGTCTCCTGCATACGCTATTAGTCGGGAAAGAAGAGATGTGGATGGTTGTGGTGAGTGGGATGGCGCTGACGATCCGTTCTGGTGCCCACATTTCTAAAGGGATTTTGAAAAAATAAAAAAAAAAAAAAAGTAGGATGTACAGAAGAATGACAAATGTGATTTGGAGGCTGGAAAAAACATTTGCCAGAGACAGAATGAAAGAGTTCAGTCTGTTATCTCACCAAAAAGGGAGCCTGAGAGGTGATTTGATTGTAAGCACTTCACAGAGAGAAAATACTTGGTGTGAAAGAGCTCTTTAACTTTGTGAAGAAAAGAGGCTGGAGCTTGTAGTCAAGCAAGTGCAAATAGGAAACACAGCACCAGGCCACGCTACCAGGGAAGTGCCATCTGCTCTGCCTCCTAGCATCCTCCATCCTGTCATGGAAAATACATCAGCTGAGAGATACTGAGTTCATTACAGGCTAAAGAAGATAATGGCATTTCTCACTTGGAGTTACACAGGGCCCCCGGATAACTGAACAGTCACTTCAGGCCTTAAAATCCATGAAGCTGGCAGCACGAGGTCCAGCAGCACTGTGTGCAGAGGCACTCCATCACCTGCAGGGAGCTCTGGTCTCACCTGCCACCTGGGGACGGACCTGGGATCAGTGCCCACCTCTGCCCAAACCCACAATGGACAGCACTACTACTAGGATGGCTACTGGGATGGCTGGGGTCACCCCTGGTGGGAGCAAGGCTTCCTTTCTGAGGCTGGCGCGAGGACAGGTAACAAGAATATTCCTCCAGGCCCTCCCCCCACACGTGGGCTCCTTTCTCATCACACTGTTCCTACCACCCACACCAAAGCCCATCAGACTGCAGTGCAGAACTGCCTCCCCTCCCTGTGCCAACAGCAGGGGAGTTCAGCTGTGGGCTCTGATAAGAGTGTTAACAGGAAGGGCAAGGCTGCCGAACATCAAAGAATACAGATGTAGGGAAGAATGAGAGCTTCAAGGGGAATCCTGCAGGCTGCACCCTGCACAGGTAGGCGGTCAGATGCTGAGGAGCACTGGCAGATTGAGGACAACTTCCTGGAAGGAAACTGGGGAGAATGTTCGCAGTGCACTTGTGTCAAGGAAGCCAAAGACCTGTCCCAGGGCAAAAGCTATGCTGGGTTTGCCGTTTTCTCTCACAAGAAACAAATTTGGAGGAAAGTGTTGGGCAGAAGGAGCATCCAGCTCCATAGAACATGCAGAGGACAAGAAAAAGTTGAGGATCTGCAGGCTTTTGAGAGCTGGGAGTAGACCCTGCCTGCAGAGCTTATTATAGCAAGGCCAATCTGCACCCGTTCCAGAATCTGGACAGCTGTCAGCCATGCCAGCCCAGTGACAGCAGTATGCCACATGTTCTTGCCCACCCCTCCTCTTTCAGGCCTGACTCCAATGTCACTGTCCCTGTCTTAACAATTTTGCAAGTTAAGTCCTCCAAAACCACATAGCTTTTAAACTCACACTAGCACAGGGAATACCCCTGTGGTATCTGTGCCACAACAGCAGCCTATCAGGGCAGCCTAGCGCCCTGTCCAAGTGTCTGCAGGATTACCCCTGGCTTTCCAGCTCCTCTTACGAAGAGAACCAGGGCATCTCAGGAAAGAAAACATTAAACATGAGCCAGCTACACACACTGGCATTTTAATTGCTAGCTACACAGCAGGTGATAGGTCAAGGGAAGCGATGATCCATCTGTACCCGTATTTTGTAAACACTATGAAGAATACTGCATCTAACTTCCCCCCAATACAGGAAAAGACACAGACAAATTAAAATGAGTTCAGTAGAGAACCAGCAAGGCATTCAGGGATTGGAATATCTGCTCTGGAAGGAAAAGCACAGGGAGCCAGGTTTGTTCAGCCTAGGGAAGAGATGGCTTTGGGGGCCCTCAATGCAATCAGTACCCACACAGGAGCTACCTGAGAAAACAGAACAGAGCTCTTGGCAGTGGTGCCTGCTGAGAGAATCCAAGAAGTTCCTGCTTGGCTTGGGCTGATCCAGCTCATCTCACAGATGGAGAATGCAAGGCTGCAGTACCCAGCACCAACTCCAACACCTTCTCCACAGATTGTTCCACTGAAAACTTTCAACATCTGAACACAAAGGAGCAGCTCTACATCAACTTCCACACTTATCACATCCGCCAGGCAGGGTCTGCCTCACACAGGAGATGCTGAAACATGACATGAGAAGAATTACTAGGCAGAGATCAGGAGAATGGCTCTTGGCACATTCATGAGGATGCCACCAATTAGTGCAATCACAGGCCTTGGCTACATCTTCCTGCTTGTGACTTTCATTAACAATTGCACGGTCAATTCTGCTACTTTTCACTGGGCAAGTTGCCACAAGGCAGCAGCAGCAGCAGCTCTGCTCCCAGCAAGGTCCTGAGCAGGGCAGCCACTGGGTGCTGCCTCAAGCTCCAGCCAGCCTCACAGACCTCCCTCTCTGCTCCTGCCAGAAAGAAGACCACCTGGGAGAGGGAAGCAAAAGCCACCACCACCACCACCGCTTTCTTAACTCTCAGACAGCCCTCTTTTGGCTACATCACCTTTCCTAATGCAAAACAAGACAAACAATTCTGCCCATGAGGCCATTCCCAACCTACCTCTCAGGTAAGCGTGACTGCACGAAGAGGTGTCATTCCCATGCACGGGGTGCAGACTAGGAGCAAAGGTTCATCACCACCCTTGGAGCGCAGAGACTTAAGGCTGTGAACACCAAAACCTCAACACTGCAGTGCTGAAAGGGAGAGCCTTGGCACTGAAGTAGGGGCAAGAATTTGCCATGGCAAAAATCACAAATGCATGTGAGCCCTGACAGTAAGCTTGGTGATAAGACCTTGTTTTCTGGGCAGAGAACTGGAAAGTGCAAAGGGGTTTGCAGGGACGATTTCTACTTGCCCTCAGAGTGTTTGCTGCATTGAAATACCAGCAGGAAGGCAAGCAGCTGTTGCTCAAGTAAAGAGACCTCCTGGGAGGAGGCAGGGAGCAAAAATCAGAGTCCATGTAAAAACCTGGCCTTACAGGCAAGGACACAACTTGTGGAAGGAGGGCAGCACCTTTGAGATTCATCCAGCTTTGCTTCCACTCATTAATTAGTTCAAACATCATCAATATTCAACCACAGCCCTCTACTTCCTGTGCCTGGCTGTGTGTCAGTGTGTGCAGACCTGCACAGACCTCCCCAGCAGGAACACGTGTGCATGTTCTCCCCACCTGAGGTGCTGGCATACCCACACTGCCACACACACAGCTCTTCTCAGCACTGCAGCGCTCATGCATTCCAGCATGTCCAACCTTCACAGTCTCCCATTGGGAAAGAGAGGCCAACCAAACTGTGCCAACACACAATGGCACAAAAGATGATGACCTCCCATCCTCAAGCAGCTCCTGACTTAGGGCTGGTGAGAGAAGGGTCTGCACGACCACCTCACTCCTCTCACTGTGTACCCAAGTCTACAACAGCTTCAGTGACAACAGGAGGCCCTGACTATTTCTGTTCCAAAAGGTATTAGCAGCACATATAACTGGAGTAAATGTCAGTGATGCATTTGTCACCAAGAAGTTGTATCTAGGTCAGAAATGCAAAATGTTGGACATTAGGCTGCAGGGCATCAACTCTACCTTAAAGAAGAAACTCTGGAAGCAACAGACTGCAGAGCCCTACAGCTCCCAAGAACCTGCACAGGCACAATTAAATTTTATCTTTCAGCACCATATGGGATGCAAATCTTTGTGAACAAAGTCACCTTACCTCAGATTTGCAGGGACCTGAAATCCAAAGAACTACGCAGTAAAAAGAAGCCAAGAGTAGAAAGTTCCAAGGAGAGTGAAAAGGGAAAGGCAAAGAGCAACTGCAACACTGCTAACAGCCCACGTGCAGAAAGCATCATTGCCCCCCAGTATGTAAAAACAGTATTTAGTGCTTACAAAAGAAGATGGTGCTTACACCTCTCAGCAGGGCAAACAGGTGAACCCTAGTGGAAGCATCAGGAGCCCTAACTATTGGAAAAATCCAGCCAGTGACAGAACAAACCATTCCCACTCTAGGACATGTCCCACTTGGCACACAGGATCCCCTGGGGTGCTGCCAGGCCACCAGCACTGCTTCAGGAGCATTGCATGAGGTAGCTGCTCCACCTGCTGTCTGCTTTAAAGCAAGACACCAGGGTCCTTTAGAACACCATGAAAAATGATCAGCATTAACAAGTTTTCCTCAGAACCATTTTTTTTTCCCCCTCCAGATATGCTCCTGATTAAAGACACCAAGAAAGGCCTCCTGTCTCAAAGCTACCGAGTAAAATCAATGGAGGGGCAACCAGTCAAGATGTTTCAGGTTCTCAGAGTATGACAAATTCACTTCAATGCTCAGCTCCGCTCAAGAGAAAGCCTGCATCGCTGAACCTTTGGGAAGTGTTCTCAAAGTCATTCCCACCTCAAAAACTGTACAAGCTCACACAGCAAACAGAACTGCCAGAGAGGTGAAAATTCTGCCAGGCAGAGAAAAATAAAGAGCTGCTGCCCAACCCCATTTCAGGCTCAGCATAAAGGCAATAGATACACCTTAAATCCTGCGCTATGCCATTTCCCCAGACCAAATTTCAGCTCTCACTGACCCAAACCACTGGGGCAGACATAAGGTTCCAACAGTGAAACAGAATACTACGTGTTCTTAGGATATAGGGTCCTGTTGGCACATCAAGGTAGACAAATCCTCCTCAGCTGGCAAACAGGACCCGTAATCCTAGAGGTCAAGCAACCTGCTGATGAGCAAGTATTTGTCCAAATCAATTGGGCATGCAGTAGAAAGGACACTGTGGGTCTGAGAGAAAGTTCAAAAGAGAAGTGATCTCTGCTTGCTGAAGCACAGCTACATAATGTGCAGACAGTAGGGAATCAGAAAACTAGTTTATTGAAAATAAAAACCAAACCACCAAAACCAACCAACCAGACATAAAAAATACATACTTTCTGAAAAGCTTACTGCTCAAGCTAAGTGCACCCTCTGCCACCTTGGCTGTAGGGCCAGCAGGACTCCCTGCACCCTTGTTCTTTCTCTGCCCAACATAATTTGGCTGAATTTAATTGGTCCCAAATACCAGCAAATAGGTAAGCATCCCTCTCTTACATACATACGTGAAGGTCACCAAGCACAAAGGCCCTTTCTCACTAGGACAAGTCTTGGGAATTACATGCAATTATCTGCTCCCACAAAGACAGGAGCTCCCATTTGCCAGAACCACAAAACGAGCACAGGAAGATGCACCTACCTTCCTCTTTGGAGCTAAAGCCTAAACACCACTAAAACCATCCTGGAACCACTCAGCCTGCAGTCCAGACATGTCCATATTTGATCCGCAGTTCATGGTCTACAATGTCAATATAAAGCCTTCAGGATTCCCTAGAAAGTTTTCTATAGCATTTCCCAGTCTCACCATTTACTTCTGCTGAACTGGGATTCATCTTCCAAGTCTGCTCTCCAGCAAAGCGTATTCCTTGCTTTCTGTGCAGCATTCACACTGCAGTACAACAGCAGGATTCCCAACTGGACCCTCATTCCCCTTTGGAAAGTCAAAGACACAGAATCTTAGACCTCCTTCCCAGGCAGTTGTCAGACAGACCTGGTAAGTACAGAGCAGGGGATTCTGCTTCACGTTCATTCAGTGTTGTTGTAGGGCTCCAACATCTTCTTCCTCCTCCCCATGCTCAGCGTGGTGCAGCAGCAGCTCCAGGTCAGGCTCAGAGTGTGTCTCTTTGTGTAGATTCAGTGTTTTCTCACCTGCGTGCAGACAGCTCGTTTACTAAAAGCCAGCTCAACCCTGCTGCTGGCAAGCAGCTGGAATCAGGTGCAGCTCCTGGTGAAACTGTAAAAACGCCTACAGAGAAACACAAAGGTATTGAAAACAGAATCACCTCTGGAATTTACGGCTTTGAGAATGACATGAAGAGAGATTCCTGACAGACAGACAGCAAAGCCAAGCCAGTTCAAGAGACTGAGGCGGTCTCCCAGCAAGTGTGTGGCAAGGAATAAAACACAGATTTCCTGTGAAAAGAAAAAACACGACAAGTGGCAGCACAGGGCCTGACGTGATGTGAATAAGTTATTTTGCAGCTCAAGCCCAAATCAAGATGTCAGGCTGCTGACTTCCACCAAGTGTTCTTGCATGTGTAGAAAGTTCTAAAAACAGATTCCAGAATCAGAACAACCTGTCAAACTGGGAGTGGGGATTTTATGTCCCCTGATTGAAATACTCATCTAATCTGGAAGTTATAGGATTACTACATAGCTGAGTTTCACGTGTCACCAACTAGCTCAGAAGTACATGCACTGCACTCGTCAAGGAAGGACAGAACATGGCAAACCGGACTGAGGTTTACCTGGGGTAAGGATAAACCAGAGGTTTACCTGGGGGTAAGGTTTACCAGACCTTATCCAGGTCTGATGCAAGAAAACGTTCTTCTTAACTCTCCTCCCTCCCACACCCTCCATCACTCATGAGGCCCACACATTCTAGTTTCTTCCAGATCCCACCAAACTTTGGATCTTAACATATTTAATTTCTCTGCCCTTTTTTGTCAGAGCAGCAGGGAACATGAGCCCTCACTGCAAAGACAGCAAGTCAAAGCATCAAGTTCCTGCGTGAGGAGAATAAAAATCATAGGGGATGACTTCTGAGGCTGTAAGGAAGTTCCCACCACATTAGGCTCGTTAGGGGCGACTCAGTACTTGCCCTGTAGTATTAGAACAGGAACCATGCCTTACCTTAAAAATACCAGCAATAGAAAGGGTGAGGCTAGATGTTCTGGAAACCAGGAGGAACTCAGAAAAGCCTAGACCAAAGGCAAGAATTCCACCCAACAACAGCTTTCCTACCATACAGAACGTCACTCCTGCTTCATGGAAATGGAAGAGCCTCTCTGATATGGACAAAGGCAGGCCTAGGAACAAGAAAGTGAGTAGCAGAGAACCCTTCCCAACCCCCAGGGTCCCCCCCAAAAGGCTCAGTTGAGCTTGAGTATTCCCCTTATTTCCACAAGCGTGGCAAGCTACAATTCTTATGTGCTCTGTGATATTCTACTTCAATTATATCTTGGTCCTTGTAACTCCAGGATTGCTTTGTAAAGTTCACAGATGTTCACTTCTCTGCATGAATCATCTTGAATCAGCTAAGCAAACTCCCAACAGCTCTATTAAGCTACCCCTGCTTTTCCTAATTAACTCACGCACCCTCAAACACTGCAAACAGAGGGAAGAGCACCAGGAACATGAGTGGCTGCAGGTGAAACATGATATCAATGGGGTTCTGGAGCCCTGCAAGAAGAGAATCAATAATGGTAACAAGAAGCCACAGAGTAAACAGTTCCTCGAGCTATTAGTACTACATGTAGATACAAATCTTCTCTGCAATGCCCAGGCTGATGCTGCTGCAGAGGCCAAAGAATCCTTAATACCCACCAGACGATCCCCATCCCAGGTTTCAAACGCTGTCCCTTAGACAAGAGGTTTTGTTTCTGCAGTTAAGTTACAGCCTCCTTATTCCCCACCTTTTGCCAGCACCGCCTCCCAGTTCCTGCTCTTTACATACCCAGTTCAGCCTTCTGCATAAGGATCTGCGTGAGAGTCCAGCGAACACCCCCAAGGAAAGAGGCACACAGCACCAGCATGAACCCCTGTGTGTTGAACTGCGTGGACTTGTAGGTGAACATGAAGAGCCCCCCAGCGATGAGCACAACCACCAGCACCAATGCCACCCTCTGGGTGAGAGCAAACACAAAATCACTACAAAGTCTCCTAGAGCTGAACAGACAGTTAACTCTTTCAGTCATCCACGCAATAGCATTCCTGCTCTGATTATGTTTCTCATGCATTTCATGCCTCCCTGCACCTGAGTTTCAGCCTCCTCAAAGCACTGCACCCCTTACCATTTCCTCCAGCTTGAAGAGCAGTGAAAACAGCAGGATGAAGAGGATGGCAGAGGATTTGGTCATCGTGTAGCTGCAAAGACCAAAATACGTTATCGTTATCTTCCAATGCAGTCCTTCCCAGTGAAGCACTATTGGGAAACAGATCAGTGTTATGCAGCTGCCAGACAGCCTAACACAGCTCCTGCATGCCAACCCCACCGGGCCACACGCAGCTCCAGATACTGACCCCAAAGCAGCACTTTCCAAACCCCACCAGATGACTCCCAAGGAAGATGAGATTTGTACTCACAGGGAGACGGTGACATACAGGAAGCTCCAGTTACTCAGCCCAATATCCAAGGAAGTTGACAAAGCTGAAGAATCAAAGAAAATGTTCTGAAGTTAATTGTCTTCCACCCCACAAAAGAAAACTCTGCTAACTGACCACAAACATAGAGCAGAGCCAGAAAAAAAAGAAAGGCTCTTTTCTCACTAACTTTTCAATACCAGCACAGCCTGGATATGCTCAGCTTTGTTTCTATCCTTTTCCCTGTGATTCAAGTTGAAGCCAAAGACTAAATTCCAACCAGAGAAAGCTGCTAATATAACAGAAACACTGGGCTCAGAAGAAGACTGCGAGGAGCAGCTTGTTTACCAGAGGCTCACACAGCCATCCAGACAGATCTTGACAGGCTGGGGAGGTTTGCTGACAAAATCCTCACACAGTTCAACAAGGATGAGGGCAGGGAGCACTTGGGAAGGAACAACTCCAGGCACAGTACACACAGCAAAAGGCTGAGATTACCTCATGGAACAGGTATTCTTAAAAACCATTTCCAGGCATGTGAAGGAGAAGAAAATCACGTGTAGTAGTCAGCAGAGATTCAGCAACGGGAAATCCTGCCTGCCCAATCTGATAAGCTTCTATAATGAAATCACTGTCCTGATGGATGAGAGGGGAGCCGTGGATACTGTCTTCCCAGACTTCTGACTCCCAGAAAATACACATGGTGAAGCTCTTGAAGCATGGGCTGGATGGGCAGTCAGCTAGATCAAAAACTGACTGAACAGCACGGCCCAGTGGGCAGCAATAAGTGGTACAGAGTGCGGCTGGGGGGCAGTAATGAGCAGGATACCCCAGGTGTCAATACTGCGTCCAGACCTGCTCAGTATCTTCATTAAAGATTTGGATGATGGGGCAAAGTGCACCCTCAGTAAATCCACGTGAACCCAGGGGGAGCTGCTGATGCACCAGAGGGTCAGGCAGTCACCCAGAGAGCTTTGCTCACAAAAACCTAATGAAGTTCACCATGGATAGGGGCAATCACATTTGGGAAGGAACAACCCCAGGCAGCAGTGGTGCTGGGCTGCCCGGGTGGAGGGCGGCTTTCCAGAAGACCTTAGAGACCCAGCGGGCAACACGAGGCAGCAGTGTGCCCTCCTTGCTGCTAAGGAAGCCACCTCTGGGCCACGTGTCACCAGCAGATCAACAGAAGTGATCCTTGCCCTCTACTCAGCACTGGTGGGGCCGCAGCCCGACACCGGGCCCCCGGTACAAGGGAAACACAAAGGGCAGGAGCACAGCACAGACCCACAAACAGATGAACGGAGCGGTACGACTCCCACGAGAGGCCGAGGGCTGGGTCCGTTCAGCGGAGGCTCAGGGAGACGCTACCGACGTCTGAACACCTCCCCGGCCGGAGGTAGTTGCCGTCATCCCGCACGCAACACAACCACGGCCAAAGCCGCGGGCAGCCCGCGCCGCCCCATCCCCGCCCGTACCTGCGGGCGCGGCTCGGCGGAGCCACTCGGCCCAGGACAGCGTCGGCGGCGGCCGCCCGGAGCGACAGCGCAGCACGGCGCGGCACAGCGCCGACAGCGCGAAGATGAGCAGGAGGTGCAGCAGCGTGGCGAGCAGCGGGAACGGGAAGCTCTGCGGGACCGACAGCCGCCGTCACCGCCGCCGCCCGCCTGCCCGCCGCCCCTCCGCCCGTCGCCCCGCACCTTCATCAGCCACTTGTTGTAGAAGGTGATGCCGATGGAGAAGCCGTAGTAGAGCAGCACCAGCGCCGCCACCAGCGCCGCCCGGCCCAGCGCCGCCGCGCCCGTCCCCATGCGCCCGCCCGGGGCCTCGCGGAGCGCCGCGAGGAGCAGCGCCGGGCCGCGCCGCTGACGACGCGGCGGAAGGCGGGGCCTGAGGCGGGCGGAAGGAAGGAGGCCCGGGAGCCGCTGCCGTGCTATTGGTTATTATTGGAACTCGTACAAAAGTCGCACGGCGGCCGAACGCCCGGGACGGCCGCGCACCGGGAGCTTCCAGCGGGCCGGACCGCAGCCCCCGTCAGCCGTAGTGGTACACGAAGTCGTAGCTGCTCGGCTCCTTGGGGATGGGCGGCGGCGCCTCGGGGATCTGGATGTTCTCCAAGTCCAGCAGCCGCAGCTTCATCTCCATGCTCAGCAGCGTGTCCAGGTCGCTCCTTGTCAGCTCGCTGGACATGTCCTTACCCAGGAGAGCGTTAAGCCCATCGATCCAGATACAGTACTGCGGAGAAGAGGACAGCTGACAACTCCAGGCATTATTGATTCCCCTACACAGCTCCAAAATAGGGGGGCAAACTGCAAAACCCAACAGAAAAACAACAAAGCAGAGCGCACAGATTCCAAACTAAGTCAGAAACCCAGAGATGGTAAGCGTGAGCCCAAGGCTCCACAGGGAGTGACAAGAGCTTCTAGTGGGGCCTAACAGCACAAAGAGCAAACAGTAAGAAGGAACAAGGGACTAAATGGGACAAAACGAAGAATGCCTTTTCAATGAGGCTTAACTGACTGTGCTTAGCCTCCTGCAATAGACTTGTTTTATATTCTGTCCCTTCACTCCATAGGGAAGTGGTCATGGCCACACACCTGCCAGAGTTCAACAAGCTTGGACAACACTCAGGCAAAGGGTTTGAATTGTGCTTTTTTCTGTGTGGAGCCAGCAGTTTGGTTGGATGAGCCTTGGGGGTTCCTTTCAACTCAAGAATTATTTTATGATTCTGTAGTTAATTTCTGTGCTTCTTACCTCATATTTATTAGGTGCGATGAAGTTTAAGGTCTCATCTGGGTCATACAGAATCGAGAAGGCCAATTCTAACACTTCCTGAATAGAAAAGAATCTCTCACTCACTGATGGAACAAAACATCACGTTGCTTTCAGAATGCTCACACAAGAACAGCAGTCTTGCTGCAGCTCAGTACACCTCCCTATAGCAGCATTAGTGGCCTACAGAACAACTGGCATAAAAGCTCACAGCACACTTCAATCATATGGAAAAAATCCAGATAATTGTTTTGTTTTTTGTTTCTGTTTTGAAGCAGGGCAATGAGAAGTTGCCAACTGAGAACACCAATTGCTCTTCATGTTTGCTTCTGGCCTTCATATCTCCATACCTTTAGGTATTATTTATAGGCAAAAAACAGAGCAGTTACCTTGTTCTGCTTCAGTGCACTTTTCTCCTTCATGTGTGGACAATCCTTCCCCGTGACAATGGCTTTGATATCTGCAACTGGAACTAACAGTGGAAAAGTAAAACTCACACAGAGGAAACACTTATCAAGAGACAGCACTTTGTTTTGTCTTTGCAACTGAGCATTTTTCCTGTTCTCTAACTCATTACTGCAGTTTTCCAAGACACATTACGAGCAGCACATCCCTACAGTTATCTGTTCTAAGAAATGCCAAGCAACTGACAGAGCTCAAAGGATTTGTGCAAGGGTCAAATATGTATCTCATGGTCGTTAGGAGCTTCAGCCACAGCCATCCTTTTTTCTGGGATGGTCCTCATTAGAACCACTAGATGGCAACGCACAGAACACTTACTGTGTTCAGAGAGCGGTAATTGGGACTTACTTTTTTCCTGCAGTGATTCAAAGGTCACTTCCCCCTGGGCATTGTCTTCCAGATCTCCATAGTGTAGCACTTTGTGGTTCAGAGCAAGGCGACAATACCAAAATCTTTCTGGAACTCAGAAAAAGTAGAGCAGGCTGAGCAGGATCATTCACCTGAGATCTCACAGCCACTGGCCAATCTCTCTACCCCTTCGATTCCTCAGCATTACTGGCTGTTTATGAGGAGATGGCTGTATTCTCAGAAACGCACGTTTCTTCCATCCCAAACTACTGGTTGCTACAGACAGATCAGGATGCCAGCTTCCCTTTCTGGCAACACGCTGCTGACAAGTTAATCCAGTAGGTATTTTTTGCCTACAGCTCACGTGAACAAACGCAGCACACGCTGTCACCTCACCTTGTCTTCTGCGATTTCCAATTTTTCGAAAGCTGCTTCCCTCACAGAGCCTGTTCAGGCGCTGCTGCTTTATCAGCTCCAAGATCTCAGGCTGGATTTTCTCTCTCAGCTCCCTGGCAATCAAACATGGAAGAGTAAAGCAGGAACTAGTGACAACAACAGGCACAGGGAATTGTTCTTGTTGGGCGCTTACACAATAGGAGGTGACTGGAAGTCATCCTGGCTCATTCTCTCAGATTGGCGTAGTCGCAGAATCTCAGAATAGCTCAGGCTGCGCAGTTTACTCTTGAACTGGTCCAAAGAGTTGGGTTTGGAGGGGAGAGCCCGTGTGATTTGTTCCCTCACAACCTGCATAACCTGAAATAGGCAGGGTGAGAAGTCACACTTTTGCTGTTTAATGGCAGAAAAGATCTAGGGCTCAGCTCAGTGGCATCAAAAAACGTAGCCGTGGCCAGGAGTGTCAGTGTACTAGTGGCTCTGAAGATCCAAAATAAAGAATGATCTCAGGTCATACCAAATAAAGATTGGACTATCCTTTACAGCCCACATCGAAGCCCTGACATACTCTCCACCCCCATCTCTTTATCCAAGTGTACTCGTCACGCAACCAAGGATGAGTGAACACACCGTTCTGCAAACAATTCTACAAGGCCTCCTCACTCTGACAGACCTTATTAAAATCTTCTGCTGTTGCCCTCATTTCTTTCCAGGTCTTGTTCAACAGCTGGATGCAAATGGCAAACAACTCCTCAAATGCACGGTCGTGAGTGAAGAACATGGGGTGATAGTCGTTCCGGCCTTCATTAGCTTCAGGAATAAACAGAAACCACAATCACATGAATATACAGAACAACAGCTAATAGAAGTAACTACAATCCACCACAGTGACAGAAAGGCAGTGGTGTACAATGGTACTTACTCACAGAGATAAGGACAGTTCAATGCTTTGTCTCCCCATAGGCAGTCTGTTGGGAACTATGGCAACTATCCCCAGACTTCATCATGCAAGCCTCTGCAATGCATGCACCCTTTTTGGACTAGCCTCCCCAGATGATTGCTTGCAGTTGTTTCCCATTTTCCTCTGACAGAATTTCTTATAGTTGCTAATTGCTTTGGAATGTTTTTGTTTTTCTTTTTTGAGACTCTCACAGCTACTTGACTTTTAAATTTATGATGGTTTCTAGAATGATTTTCTTACAGCATCCCAATGAAGCTTCAGAAAGCTGGAGTCTTCCACTTGCTTCAGTTTTTTAACAAGAACCAGAACACATACAACAAATTTTCTTATTTAAATTCAATATTAGTACTATGGGGAAACTGACAATGCAATTCCAAGCTACCCCTGTCCTTACAAGGCAGAACCAAAGTACAAACGGTTGGGAATCTTCACCAATCTGTATGTTAACCCAGGAAACATCAGCCCAGGCACTCAGGAGACTGCAGGGTAATGTTACTTACGGAGCTCCCCAACTTGTAGGATCTCACAAAGCATCCTGGTAAGCTCAATGGCACTGCGTCCAAAGGGACACTCATGTTTATCTTCTCGACTGCTGTTCTCCAGAACGATCTAAAGGAAGAAGGCAGAAGAAATAGCCAGAAGTGTTGCTGAGGTGCTGCTACTTGCAAAGAACAGCAGCTTTCCTTACCCTGATATAGGTGTCCTGATGAAACTTGGCCAAGTACAGCATGTTATCCAATGCCAACATCCCTGGAGGAGTCTGAGTAAAATCCATAGCTGGATTGATGTGATTCTGCAAAGCGTGCAGAAATAAACCAAAGAAATCAGCCCAAAGAAATGTTGTGAGACTCTTTCCCAAATTCATTTTACAACAGCCTGCCTATCAAGTACTCCCTCACATCTAGCCAACAGGTAACTTAGGACACCTGCTATCTAAACTTTCTAGAAGAGAGGCCAATTCCGAGTTCTTCAAGAATAAGTATCTTCAGAGGATGTGCCTAATGAGCCCTTGCACTTATCCAAACAGTAAGTTCATAATAATCTGTTCTGGAAATCTGAGTTTAGTTTCTACAAGTTAGATATAGAAACATGGTGAAGCAAACAGCTGTTTCTGTTCCTCCCCCTCCCCCTCCACCCCATCCCACTCTCTAGGTGCATACAGTGAATCCCAGCATCTTGTAGTCCTTGGTATACATGGCTTTGCGTTTTTCTGTTCCACTGCCAGGGATGGTGTTGCTGTCAGACTCTGCATCAAATGCAATTCTTCTCAACTCAAATATGATGTCTCTCTGTGCCTGAGGGACGGAAGGGAAGGAAATAGTAACATGCAAGCAAGCAGCAGGGCACCGTTTTCCCATAACACAAAACCCACCTCTCTCCAGAGTGAACACAGTGAACACAAGGAGGTGCCAAAGGTCATTGGCATTACATAAAATGAGGCAACCCAGTTCAAAATGGCAAGTTTCAGTATAATGGATATTACACCATGTTCATTTGTGTTATCCTTTAGCTGCCCTAGGTTTACTTACAGGCAATCTTTAAGGATTCAGATAATGCTAAGGTACTTCTTGTTTAAGACTGCAATGTATTTAATACTTAAGTAACAGAATTCTTAATAACAGTCCAGCTTCCATGCACATTGCAAAGAAAAGTATCAAAAAGGACATGCCCTCCATTGAGGCAGAGGAATCAGTTTGACAGCTAGCATCACACTGGTCAGGAAAATACACGTCTTCCAGCAACAACTGTACCTGTAAAAGCCCCACAGCACACGGCAAGTCAGTCATGAGCATACGAGAAGCTCAAAGACCACAGTGTGAGCAGCAGTTTCACCTTATGTACAGTCTACTGCAAATTCAGCAGAGTAAAGCATCT